GTATATCTGGACAGCATTTTACTGTTTACCAAGCCTCCCATTGTTTTCTATTTACTACCTCCTGGCAATTCTCAGAGTTTCCTTAGCATTAACTAAAAGCTGCTTTACACTTAGGTCTTGAAGGCTTTGCTGGGGTAAAGTACCCTACAATTCTTTTTGCTAAAATCCCCCAAAGCTGTCTGTCTCCTCTTTTCTTAGAACCACTGTAGCACAGACCCGAGCACACTGAGGTGTAGGAGGCCTCTAGCTACCCAGGGAATCCTGCTGTCCTGACATTCCTGTACTCTTACCTCTAAATTGGGCTATTTTTCATCCCTTTTTCTTTATGCTTCTGGTAGTAAATCTAGAATCAAGGTTAATTTGAAGAATGAAACAAAATAAAATTTATACACAGAGTTGTGATATTTCCTGAGGATACAATGTACAGTCAACGTAGGCACACATAAATATGCACCAAATACTGACATCTAGGGGTGGGACAAAGTGTATGGCAAGCTACCATTTGTGTTACAGGGGGATAAGGATGGACTATTATACATATTTACTTTTTGATGCATAAAATATCTCTGGTAACTTAAGGAACTAGGTAGCTGCAGTACAAGAGGTGGGAGACTTTTAATATTGTATACCATTTTGAATTTTGAGCCATGTAAATATGCAAAAAATAAAACTTAACACAGACTTACACCCTGCTTTTATGCACTTAGCGGAGTCTTAATTTTATCTTAGCATTCTCACAGAACCAGAAGCCCCAGGTCAGAACATTATTTTAGTTTTGTTTAGCAACTGTTTAAAACTTAAATACCTTGAGAATTAAAAAAAGTGAGTCCTCACAAAAATATCTCCTACTGACTCTCCTTCAGAGTTTTTTACTTTCCTTAATAACACAACATCAAATAACTAGACTGGAATAAACTAGGAAAGAGAGGAAATGAAAATGACATTTCTGAAAAGAATATAAAGAAAAGCATAGAGAAGAATCTGTGAAAGAAGGAAGAAACAAGTAAAAATGTAAGTCTGATGATAAATTTTTAGCATTGTACTTCAGTGGCTCATGCAGCAAATGGAAAGATATTTATTATATTTATGGCCAGTATGTTAAGAGATAGTAGTAAGGTCTGACATAAAAGTATGAAATAAATTTATAGACCTGAACCTAAAATTTGTCTCATCCGCCATTGCCAGGTCTCTGGAAATTCACCAACCTCACATCATCTTGATGTTTATTCTGACACTGAAGGAAGAAAATAACTAACAACAGTCAATTTTTTTTTTTTTAATGAATTACACTTCATGTCTCATACCTCATGGAAAACATGAGTTAGTTTTTACTTTAGTTCTAATCAATCAATGTGTACTAATATGGCTATACTGATGGTTTACAACCAGCATCTATTCTAATTGTTGGTGCCTATGTCATCCCAGTTGTTGAATATTTTGAATATCACCTTTGGTTCTAGTGTCACATATCCATGAACCCAGGTGGCCCGACTTAATATTTCTAGGTGGGCCAAGGACCAAGCCTGTGACTTTGGGCATGATTATCTCACTTCATCTTTGGTTCAGTATTCCTAACGACCTTTGAGATATGGGTCTTTACATTTGAAAGATCTAGTACTCAGTATACTTCAACATCTTTAAACTCTCTTCCCAACCTATGTGCTATTGTTGATGTGTATTTTCTTTTTTAAAAACTCAGTAATTATTGTTTTAAAAAAATCTGTGTGTTTTAACTTACCTACTTTCCTTCACTGTCATCATTCTCTTTTTCTTTTGCATTTCAAATACTTGTAGCAATTTAAAATTTCCTTTACAGAAGGACTTCCATAAAGGGCCCAGTAATAGCAATTCACTGTTTTTATTGTCTGGAAATATCTTAATTTTGCCCTCTTTCTTGAAAAAAAAATTTGCTACACATGGAATTCTAGCGCGATAATTATTTTCTTTCAGAATAGTTCAGGTATCATTCCATTGTGGCTTCCTCTGTTGCTATTGAGAAATAAGCTGTTGGTCTCCTTTGAAGGCACTGTCTTTTTTTCTGACTGCTTTTAAGATCTTTGGCTATGAGGTGTGTCTGTAATGTATGTGTTTTTTAAATCCTGTTTTGGGGATTTGTTGGGCTTCTTTAAACACTGACTCTGCTCCATACTGTCTCTTCTTCTAGTATTCCAATCAGAAGACTTTTCTAGCCTCCATTTCCCTCAGACTCTTTCAGCTTATTCCTATGAGCTGCTATTCCATATAATTTCTTCAGCTGTGTCTCTCAATTCATTAACAACTGTTTTTTGTATTTCCCTAAAGATCGTCTCCTATATTCAATCTAACAAAACAAATCCTGTTGATGGATTCTACCTTCAAATCTGATTTATTCCTGAATACTCAACTCTATTGCTATCATTCTAGTTTTGGGTCTTATCTATTGTTAGCTAAGTTAGAGGATTTGGGGAGATCTAAAACTTAGCCTGCCCATAACTAAGATATTAAGCTTTCTAAAATACTGGACTTGTTATTTGCTATGTTGGTCTCCTATTACAGAATTTTTATCATCTCTCTACTAAATAATGAATTGAATCCCAAAATATCACAATTCTAGGATCTGGTTTGACTGCCTATCTAGGTACAGATTCTCAGGCCAAAATAGGCCCATCTTCTTTTTGTTCTCTGTATAAGTCATGTGTATTTTTGCTAACATACTTTTGATCTAGTCTTTTTATTAATACCAATCTTTTCAGGCCTCTCTCTTTGGCAAAGCTTTTCCTATTAACTTTCAACATGCTCACTCTGCTTTATGATTTCTCTAAGCCCTTGTGTGAGCAGTTTATATTTTAATTATCTTCACTCAATTAGATACAACTCTCTAGTATTTGAAGTTAAGCCTCAAAATCCTAACCTAAGTCTGACTCCAAGGTTTATGCTTTTTCAAACATAAAACTGCCTCTCAGTATTCAATAAATATTTGTTGATTTGCATAAGAAAAAACAGATGCTATAAAATAATAGATAACAATGTTTTACATTTAACTGTTTTATCTTAGTTTGGTTGGAACCAAATAGAATGGTAAATTGCATTAAAATTTTTTAACTTTATTCATGTAAGTAAATTTCGTAGGAAATCCCCTCAAGAGGAGTTCTGTAGTAGCTTATCAGTAAAGATAAACATTAGCTCTTTCAAATATAATTACTTGTTCTCTAATCAGTTTTAGTATATGTCCTGCCAATGTGAGCACACTTGCTCTTATCAAATGTCACAAAACCATTTTTCAGGGAAAATGCTAACTCCTAAAATTTTAAGCCTCACAATTTTAAGCCTAAAGGAATAGTTTACACAGCTACAAGTTTACCCAAGGACCACATTAGTATTAAGGAAAAGATACTAAAAGCCTAGTTTTATAAATTATTCTAATGTTGATAAACAACCAATTCAGTTAAAATAGGCTGCACTACGCCAAACTCACCCAATTCATTTATAACAAAGCCATTATCTCTAAACTTTGACAATCAAGAGAGTGACTGTTATTTGGATTTATAATGCAGAACCTTCTTTCTGTATTATAATGTTCTCTTTTTTTTCTAAGTAGCATAGAAGACATCAAATTATGTCTTGAATTATCTTGAACAATTTGTAGGTTCTATGTTATTGATAAAAGCACCCACTTGGCATGTGGCTTTTTGGGAAATAGTTTCGTAATTCTAGGCCAAATAAGGGAGGATACACTGGGAAAAGTAGACTATTCTTAGTATTTCTCTCATAGGACAGTGTTTATCAATCTTACCTTTCCTGTCCCGTCCTTCATCAACACATACTGGCAGACTTCCTAGGGCAATGCAGAAATCCAGACAAGAGAAGGAAGCACACTAACATAATGGAGGACAGGCTACAGGAGATGGATAGTGTCAGACATCATGCGGGAGAAAAGAAGGAATTATCAAAGTTAGTCACTTTGTTCCAGAGAAACTAAAACGAATTACTTCAAAGGTAAAGAGCAGAAAAAAGATCTTTTATGTATTTGTAGCAAGGCTCCTTTCAATAAGAAGAGAGGAGAGTTGCAGTTAATTTGAAAATTTGTCTTCAGAGGAACAGATATAACTTAGCAAACAGTACAAAAGGACAAAAGATAAATAAGATTCTCCAATTTAAAAATATGAATCAAGAGATATAATTGTAGGCTTTGAGAAAAGAGCAGCTAAGAGAGTTGTTCTTTCTTCTCCAAGAGAACACAGACTATTAAAAGCAATAGGAATTCCAATGTTTATATATAAAAATAATGAATGAGGCATATGCACTGAAGTATCCTTAGTTACATAGCCTTATACTATGAAAAGCAATAATATTGTCACATTTAACATGGAGATCTAGAAACAGAACAAAGTCATCCCAATAAGGAACCTTTCACATCAGGGACAATCTTCTGTTCATATCTGCAGGATATGAAACATCTCTTCTACCCCTGCCCTAATAACTTCCCCATCTAGATACCGCAGTGCTTGAAATACTACCACTGGGAGACAAGAGGCCTTCAGATTCAATACAGACTTTGTAATTTAGTACTCCTCACCCCAAATGCAAGATCCTAGGCAAGTTTGAAGCTATTCACACTAGCAATATGATTTTGTTTCTTTGATTAGAGGTGGTTTATAAAAATGAATAACTGGATGGGTAAAAGGATAGGAAAGGGGGCGAATGAAGATATAGAACCAAAGAAAAACTATTTTACAACTTTGGGTATAACCAGTTGCTTTGTTATGAAAACATTATAACTTAAATCCTGTGTATGAAATTTAGGCATTTATTTAAGATTAATGCTTAATTTCAACAAAAGTCGATTAAAGTCATAACATTTCTACACAAGGTAAATGACGTTTTTGTCAAGGCTTTATTTTCTGTAAAGTAAAAGGCATAATAATTTATGTAAGAACGAATTCATTTTAAAATTTAAGTGATTTTATCAATTCTGATAACATCTGTATAGTCTAGTCAAATTTGTTAAATAAAATGCATACCTCATATTCTTTTCTGCAAACTTTGGAAATATCATTTTTTGAAGACGCCTAAAAGATAACAAATTTCTCCATTAATTTATTATACATGCTATTCAGTACAGGACCAAAAAAAAAAAATACAAATTAAGTATATGTTAATTGATGGTATAGTATTCTTTATTTCATCAGCGAAAACCTCATGTTTAAATATTTTGAAGTTTCTAAAAATCAAACAAATATATTTCATGCAATTACTTTAAAACAAACATCAGCCTCAGAATCTACCCAATATGCTAGAACTTCACTCTAATTTTTATGGCTTTAATCTCACATATTAACACAGTCTTTTTGTTATTTCAGAAACTAGATGACTTTGAAGGAAATGTAAATCAGACGACTTTTTTTTTTAGCTGAATTCCACTCTGCAGCAAATTTTCTTGTGAAGCTCTGCCAGGTTATTTATATTTTGCTTTTTCTTTAACCCTTCATAAGTTTCTCATACTAACTTTTCCTCAGAAAAGATCCAAATATAACAAAGGTGCAACTAAAGAGGGAAAGGCTATGTCTAGTAATTTACAAAAGTTGTTTTTATGTAATTCTCTTAATAAGTTTATGAAAAAGATAGCATCTCCTCTACAGATGAAGAAACTGATGATCAGAGAAAAAGCAAGTTATTCATCACATTTAAGTATGTACTTTCTATATAAAACAAGCCAAAACAAATCTACTGAGGGTGGTAATTCTTCCACATGATATCGGTTCCCATTCAGAGATGTAGTTTCAGAGCCATGGGCTCTGGTTCCTCATTCTATTTCTTCCTGTTCTATTACCCAAGCTCATGCAATTTTGAATAGGGCAGCTGACGAGAGGGGGAGAGCAAGCAGCAGAATGGACTGGCAACTGTTTTATGTCCCACTAGATCCATTATAGTTCCAATCCTGCACAACTCAGCTTCATCTCAATGCGTGGAGGAGAGCAGCAGAGAGCCAGACTGTGTGCTGCCCAAAGAGTGTTGCAGTGGTATATGTGAAAGTGAAGGTGCCACTATGTCTTACATTTTCCTGTCTAGAGACCAGTCACTAGAAAAAGAAAATAAAAGGCTTTTCAGTGGTGGTTTCAGGTCCACCTAAATTTCCCAGTTAAGTCTACTCCCACCACTTGGAGTATGAAGAATTGGAGACCAGTTTTCTCACAATACTCTGAGGAACGACTACGAAAATATACAGTGAGAAAGAACCCGGGGGCCTAACTTGAACTGGACCAGACATATATTAAATCAAAGAGAAGTTATACTTCACTAAGAGTCATGTTCCCCTGAGGAACAGAGGGGAAATGTAAGAACATACTCAGGGTAAACCCATGATGAAAGACAGAAAGGAAGTTGAAAGCAAAATAAGTCAACTATATCAACTGTTCTCATCTAGGCAGTCCTTAAATTCACATGACTATTTGAAATCATTCAGCACTGACCATGCATGACCATAAGCAAAATACAAAAGGCCTCAATTCCTAGAATATTTTTTGTGTGGCAGACAGAAGTTAAGAAAATAAGAGAGGGCTGAGGGCCTTACATACAGCAGCCATAACTGAAAAAGCAGCCAAGTCTAAAAAGAAGTGGTCTATGCGAGAAATGCTAAATGTGCAGCTTTTATCAGTCACATCGCCAAAGGTCTGGGGTGGGCAGGGTTCAAGACATATGCACAGCTAAAACCCAAACTGCACTCCACGCTGCTTAAGGGCCTGATTATCCAGTGTTACCTGCTTGCATGCCTGTCGACACTCCAAGGTAATAGCCAGTTCACAACAGCCTAAGCCAACCCAGCCATCAGACTTCTTAAACACACCTTAAAAACAAAACATTCAAATGTTTTGGTCATAAGTAGTGACAAACACAAATAGCATGCCAATTTGGTTCGTGGCTATCACTAAAAGTCAAAGCAAGTGCCCACAGGAAAACTAGCTCAAACAAAATGGCCTCAAAATTATTAAACCCTTCTTCCTTACTTTATTCCTAAAGCTATCAGTCTTCTCAGGGTCCCTCACAGCAAAATCAAGTCCTTTGTTTTTTCCCTCGTCTCCTTGCCCACCCTGAACTCTCTAGGTCATTCTTACTCTTGGGTAGGTAGCATCTCTAAAGGACATACAGGTTAAGAAAAGCAAGGAGAGGCCTTCCTCACCTTTAGACTGTGAAGCAGAGGCAAAGATTCCAATTTAACTTCATAAACAAACAAAAAAGGGCACAAGTATTATTAAATTTAAAAATATTAAATACCTAGAGTAGTATAAAACCCATGATGCTTTTTAAAAACTGATACTTAGCAAACAAACAGGAACAGCTCCTGTGAGCCAGGAGAGGCTTCAATGGGTGAACTTCGTCATGGGGCAAAATGACTCTTCTGGTTCAGTTTATGCATAGCAGCTATTTCTCCAACTAAATCACTGTGATACTAATAAGAGGTATCACAGTATCACTTTTTATAAAATTATAAAAAGTATTCTAATGTTTTTTTTAAGATCACTTTTTGCCATCATAAATGTCAATTCATGACTCTAGATTAAAATTAAGAGATAATAATTATGAAAAGAGAAAAGATATTTATGCTTATAGGGGTGCTGCAAATTCGGCCTTATTTCCCTTAAAAAATGCTTTATGCTGCTTCCATGTAACATGTAGATCTTCAAATCCACACATACATTAAATCAGATTACTATTTACATTTGAAAAAAATGTCAGGGATTCAAGGCAATAGATGACATAATTCTCTAAATAAAATTAGGACTTAATACAAATAGAAGCATTCTGCTAAGAAACTAACAAATGCAAACAAGTGGCCCATAAATAGACAAAATTCTCAAAATATAATTATAAACCACCCCAATTGTTACAACTGGCTAAAAATACTACATATCGCCTTCTGTATCCCTACATGTTTTAATAGCACAAAGGGCAATAGGCTCCCATCTAGCCCCCATTGCCTGGTATAGCTTCCTCTAAATCTTTGCTGCTTGCTATTCAGAATAACTCTCATTTTAGATATAATTTTGAAAGGAATCCACGTAAGTCATAAACTCTGTGAACTTTTACAGCATAATGCAGTAAGCTGCTGTTTCCACATACCTAGTGGCCTCTTATGGAGATTATGGTTTGGAAAGAAGTAAGGGGGTGGGGCAGGAGAAGAGGAGACGGGGAGAAGAGGAGAGAGACAGAGACAGAGAGACAGAGACAGAGACAGGGGGAGAGACAGATGGAGAGAGAGAGAGAGACAGACAGACAGAGAGAGAGAGAGAGAGAGACAGGGAGAGAGAGGGAGAGACAGGGGGAGAGAGAGAGAGAGAGAGACACTTAGTGGGGGGGTGTGTGAGTGTGTGTGTGTGTGTGTGTGTGTGTGTGTGTATAAATTACAAATTCCAGAACATTAGGCAGAGAGACAATTAGGAAAACAGGCAAGGATGTAGGCAATCACAGGAAGGCAAATAGTACAAATTGTTTAAACTGTGTGACAGCCTTTCAAGTTCAGAGATTTTTTCAAGGCACTGGCTTTCACCAGGACTGGAAAATAAACTTTAATCTTAAGAAACTGTGAATGCCAGGTTAGGGAGTTTGGGCTTCATTCCAATAGAAATGGATATCCCTCAGGGATTTTTTTGAAGGGCTGGGATGACAGCTATGATGTGTTAAAACATCAGTTACAAGTTTATTACAATATTTTATCCCAAGAATGTAACAATAGAGGCTTAAACTAAGGGTAGAGAGGACAGATGCAAAATTTTACAAGAGGAGAGCTCAAAAGAAAAATTGGTCAAAGATAACTTGGTTTCCAGTCTAGTGTCATTCACAAGAGAGGCAAATATAAGATGAGTTTAGTTTTGGATTTTCACTTCAGATACACCTGGATGCAGAGATCTAGGTAGAGATGTCTAGAAGTCACAAACAATGACCTGGATTTGAAAGTTCCTTCCCAAAGCTGATTAGTTACCAGGATGAGTGTGGAGAGAGAAAAGGATGACACACAGGAACAACCACAGTCCTTGTGGTGGGGAAGTAAGAGGAAAAAGGTAAGAGAGAGCAAGGTGCAGTCACAAGGAGGTAGTGGTCAATAATATCAAGTGTCACAGGGAAGTCAAAGAGAGTAAGTACTGAGAAAAAGCTATAAGACCTAGGAACCAAGAGATCCTGGTGATCTTTTCAAAGACCAGTTTCAATAGAATAGTAGAAGTGGAGACAAGAGTACAAAGTTAAGTATTGAGTGAATGAGAATAAATTATACATTTGCAAATTTGGGTGCCTATGGGAAGGAGAGGACAGAAACTCAAGGGTATACACTAGGTTATAGGACTATGACACAGATTATACAATCACAGTAAGTTTTTAAAAATAAAGTGTTAAATGTTACATTTCTCTTGCTTACCTGGCAAAGATGAATTCATACAACTCCAAATTTCAACCTAAAATTGAAATCACCAAAAGGTTTTTATGTAGATAACCAGTTCCTAAATATGACACTTAATTTCTACAGAAATTCTGTATGGATGATTTGATTATGTTTGTGTCTATACAATCCATGTTCTAGGACTATGAGTATCAACCAGCTATTTAGCAGAAAAAAATAAAACAGATGCAAAACGTCGCTTGCTCTTTTTCCATCTTCCCATCTAAGAGCACTGAAGATTAGTCTGGTTACTCAGGATGCTTACTGGAATCAATGTTTCCAAGCACAAAGACAAATGTATCTGTAGAGTGACTAAAGGAAAATGTATCAGAACTTCTCTCACCTCACATAACGTAAGCTACCATATCTAAAGAGGCTTCTCATGGCAAACTCAGACTTTCTTAGCCTGGTCCATAAGCATTCCAAATACTGAGGATGGCCCAAGCATTAGAGACATTTTAAGTTACATGATTCAGACTGGCAAGCAATACATCTATCATATACAAGAAAATGGGAAGACAGGAATAATGAGATAGGCATAACGAGAAGTCACACATTTTCCTTTATCTCAAATACAACTTTCCAAAGTAAAAATAAATATAAAATTTATTATAGTTTTCATAAAATTTTCAAAATATAATAATACATAAAATTCCAAATTCAAGATAAACTATTATAATTAAATTTAAAGACTGGAATAAATTTGTATTTAATATTGTTTTTACCCAAATCATGGAATAAACAATAAAAGTGAGATAATATTCTATCTAGCAATTTGTGTGAAGATCTTTTTAAAGTACCTAGTTAAATCTAACATTTTACTTTGACTACAAACCTCATTCACATTGAACATTTTGCTAAATCTAAAAGTAACTCGTTAGATGGCTTTATTTAAACAAAAGCTTACACAGTTGGGTTAAACAAGACCTACCATTGTTTCAGGGCAATAATCTGGCGCTCGTTGCAACAGATGTTTTAGTCGGGATTCACTTTTTGAGGAGAATATCTATTTGACAAAAAAAAAAGTTTTTGTAGCATTTTTCATAAGAAATAAGTAAAATTTATTATTCTCTAAATTTATCAGGTATCTAGAATATTTTCCAACTTCTTTTTGTAAATAGAAAACCATTGGAAAGATCTAAATTAAACTGAAGTAACATTTCTTAAAAGGTTGGTTAGTTTGGCAACTAATTAAGAAAATCCACATATACCAAAGTCTAGACCCCATTTTCTAATGACCGAAAATGGAGAAAACCAGGCTACCAACCTGTTAGAAGACAGGGAAGAAAAAGAAAGAAGAAAACAGAAAAAGAAGAAAAAAATGATAAATTTATTCTAAACTGTTCCATAAACTGCTTTTAGTCAACTGACTACAATGAAAAATAGACTATGTTACTCCCTTGGTATTGGTGAAGAACAAATTTATAAATAGCATTATGGGATAAACTTCTCTGTAAAATGCCATAAAATAGAGACAAAGCCATTTTTTAATATAGATGCTAAGGAGCTGACAAGTTCATTCAACAGTCTAACTGGCTCACTTCCAAACAGGACTGTAATTAATGCAATTACAATTTGATGTCTCAGTAAATTATAAATCATTACGTGTATCAGACAGACCTTCACGGTTACCTGCAAACAGTTGAGACTGTAAAATCCATGAACAGTAAAGACAATGAAAAAGGATTTCTCTCCACTTAGTTTTAGAAGCCACTTTTCTCCCAAACTACCAACTATAATTAATAAGTAAAGAAAGCTAGAATATCACCATTTTGCAACCCCTAGTGCATTTAGGGAATTATCAACAATGACTACTAACATTACAAAAAGAGACAACCAGACACAATAACACTTATAAGGAAGACTTAACAAACAAAACAAAAATAAAACCTGAATTTGATCAAGCATCAGGATCCATTTCAGAAGATAGCTGCTAGCCATGTGTGGCTATTTAAATTTAAACTGAAATCAATTAAAATTAAATAAAATTTGAAATTCAGTTCCTCGGTTTTTTAAATCATATTTCAAGTATTCACTTGGCACACATGACTAGTGGTTACTGTAATGGATCACATGAATATAGAATATTTTCGTTACTGTAGAAAGTTCTATTGAACACCTCTGCTCTAAATCTACCTACTAATTACTAAGAAATGTAGAGTATAAAGGAATACATTAAACGACACCACGGAGATGCGAACGGCATAATTCAGACTGTGGGAAACTCTACAGGATAAAATGACCAGATTTATTCATTAAATAAAATGCAAGAAGAAACCCATAGTTCAAAAGATATTTAAAAGACATATAACCAATTGCTATGCATATCTCACTTGGATCCTGATTCAAACTAAAAAAAAAAAAAAAAAAAAAAAAAAAAAAAAAAAAAATCCTCTCCCTTAAATACAAATGAATAATTAAGGAAAGGGGTGAGGGGGACAACTTATGAAACGATTAAGAAATCTGAAAAAACTACATATTTGAATATTACATTTTAAAAGTGAGTTATTTTTATATCACTTTAATGAGTACTTATAATTTATAGATAAAAACTGAAAATTTATGGGTCAAATGATATGACAAATGGAATTTACTGCAATATAAACTTGTTTCAATATAATGGGGGGGGAATTGGGGTATAAATGAAACACAACTGGCCTTGTTAATAATGTTGAAGTTGAATATGGGGGTTCATTATGCTTTGCTTTACTTTTGTGTATATTTAAAAATTCCCATTATAAAAAGATAAAAAGAAAAACAAGAAAAATATATGTAAAAAGAAGACAATAATGAAAAGCAAGAAAGTAAAGAAGAGACAGAAAGAAAGGAATAAGCACAAGACACTGGTAGTGGAATGGGAAGAAACAGAGAAAGCTTTGTTTCCACTCATTCATCTCTTCTCCCTCAACTCCATTTCCTCACAAAACGGAAATAAAGCAAAACACCAACAATACCCACAACAGTTTAGAACAGCAGAAAGAACAATGAAGTAAGCCACCTACTTGGCCTTACTTAGCCTGGTGGCTAAGAGCATGGATTTGTAATCAATCACATTTGGGTTTGAGCCCCTGCTACTCAGTTACTGCCTTAGAGACTCTTAGCAAGTTATTTAACTTTTCTGTACCTCTACGTCCTCATCTACAAAATGCAGATAACAACATTATCTCCCTCAAGGACTTAGTGTGAGAATTAAATGAAATAATATTTGTAAAGAGCCTGGCACATAAGAAAAAATAAAATAAAAATTTGCTCCCCATGTTCCAGTTTTTTGAATAGCTAACAAGCAACATAAAGAAGTTAGGTAATTTATCAGGTCCCTTCTGTCTCTAAAATCATGATTCTATAAAGTATAATGAATTAAACTGAGAAACATTGTTATGAAGAATATAAATAACTAAGATAACTTATTAAGAATATAAATAAGTAATAATATTAGGAATATAAATAAGCTAAATAATTAATTTAGCTTAAAGAAGGCAGCATGTATATACCTTCAGATGATTTGGTAGACTTGAACATTAGCAGTTACTTTTTTCACTGAACTGATAATCACACCTAAAAAGAAAGATGAATGCTTACCCAGAATATATATTAGAATATAAACTATGATTATACAAATCACCTCAGAGCAAATATTTAATAACCAAACTTGTACCCTATTCAAGGCAGAAACAATCACATCACAGGGCTTACAATCCTGATCTTGAGAGCTTTTTTTATCCATTCTTATCCCCTCCTTCTGTCATAACTCATTTCCCTTTGTCTTCAAACGAGCAAAGGCCTCTTATCTTGAAACAAATCTTTATTTCCTGCACTGACTTCTCCAACTAATATTCCACTTTTTCCTTTCATTGCGTCCATTCAAACAACTCACAAATATTCACTGACCAGCTTCCATACACAAGGGCATGAGTACAACAAAGATGAATGTCACAATCTCTATATTCAAAGAATTTATAGTACAGTTGGGGAGATAAGGTATAGTTAAAAACTGAATAGATTTTTGCAAGTTTGAAATATCATAATAAATTTAAATTTTTCAAAAAAATGTTTTAAATTTCTGCAGATGACTTTTAGTGTCCTACCACTCCCCTCAATCTAGAAATATTTATGGAGAGTTCTGCATGTTAGGCACTATTCTAAGCACAGAGAATTCAGCATAAACAACGCAAAGTCTCTGCTCTAGAATATCTCCCTTAACAGTCTTCTTCTTAAAACTACCGGCATTTTCTCAGATCTCAAGCTTCTTGACTTTTATTTGGCATCTGACACCTTTTTTTTTTAATGTTCACTATTATAAAACACCAGCTTTGACTTATCTAAATTCAAATTCTAAAAGTTTTTTTTTCTCTTGCCTACAGCACCTGGTATTCCTAGGTGGTCTCCCATCCAAGTACTAACCAGGCCCGACCTTGCTTAGCTTCCGAGACCAGAAGAGATTGGGCCATTCAGGGTGGCATGGCCATAGACAAATTCTAAAAGCTTTAATCTCAAATCTCCAACTGTCTTCACATAGTGGTTTTCACTGATAATTCGGCAATTCACCTTCCCCCCAAACAAAATCTTTTCCCCAGCCTCCATCAGCAGTACTACTATTCACTTCAACTCAAAACCTAAATATCATCAGGACTCCACCCTTTCTTCCCTTCCTATTGGTTGAAGAAATAATGGTTCCTCACTCCTGGTATTTCCTTTCATTTTGAGTGAGCTCTGCCTGGCATCTCTACACCACTCACTCACTGCTCCTGTGACTGGAATAACTGACTTACCTGACTGCTGAGTTTGGTAGGAGAAAGTGAACATATGTAACCCAGCTCTTAGCTCTCCTCCTCTGCAAGTAAATCTAATTCTGTAGTTCAGTGTGTGTCTGAAGATAAAAGTTACATTCAACATTTGTGTAACTAGTAATAAGAGTAATATCTGGGGTCCTATTTGCCTTAATTCTCAGTTAGTTAAAAACAAGGTCAGAGAAAAATGTTCTTTACTGGGGTAACTATAGCATCCACTTAATTTGATAAGTTATAGAATTTCTAATATTTCTTATTTTAAGAAATTAGACCTTGCCTGTCACAGGTACCTCGTAAAAATTAATCACCCTATTGTACATCGGTGGAAAAAAACAAGAGGAAACAAAGCAAAAGGTCAGGAAATTAGCACTTCCAAAAGTAGCAGAGCTACTTCAAAAGCCCCTTTATGGTGACACCATCGAGAGGTCATTTTTGCTTCTAAAAGGTATTTTTCTGGCAATAAATTTGTAGAAAACTTAATTCGCTATAGTATTTTGATATGAATTCCCTAGCAGCTATTTAGATGAGCTCAGTCACTGTTTTGCTTTATAATTAAAAAGTATTTTACAAAATCTTTCTAAATTCATAATACTGTTTGAGAGATTTTTTAATCCCAGTTATATAGCTCTCTCAGTTTCAGAAAGTGTTAAAACCTAGGTTCTTACTTGAAAACTTGATTGAGGCCATTAATTCTCAAGCACTAAAGCTAGAACTACACAACCATAATGCTCAAAGAAAGGTAAGACTTTAGGAACAGTCACTGTCTCAGTGGAACTTGCCTGAAAAAGCCCAACCAAAAAATTCAAACCTGTAGAAAAGTTTCAAAAGTAGAACAATGAACACTCAGTCTTCATCTAGAGTCACCCACTATTAACATTTGCAACATTTGCTTTAACTCTACATAAACTCATATTATCACTATTATTTTGAAGAAACATTTTAGAATTCAGTACAGACATGATCATTCATTCCTAAATCCCTGCATGTATCTCCTAAGAACAAGGACACCATTCTCCCTAACTACAGTACATCACCAAATTCAAGATCACAGCACCGATACAATATTATTACAGTCCATATTCAAATTTCACCTATTTATCCCAATAATGTCCTTTATAGTAATCTTTTTTTTTTTTTTTTTTGCAATGGCAGTGTTTAAATTCCAGGATCCGATCCACAATTATGCATTGCATTTAGTTGTCATGTCTCTTTAGTTTCCTTTAATCTGGAAGTTTCTTACAACCTTTGTTTTCAGTGTGTATCTAGAGATAAAAGTTACATTCCACATTTGTATAACTAATAATAAGAGTAATATCTGGGGTCCTATTTGAAGAGTACAGGCTATTGTTTTGAGGATTAGCCCTCAATCCAGGTTGACCCTATTGCTTCCTCAGGTTATGCATATGGGCCAGGAATTCTACATGAGATACTGTGCTCCTTTTCAGTGCATCATGTCAGCAGACATGTTAATTTGTTCCATTACTGGTGTTATGAACTCTGATTACTTAGTTAAATTGCTATCCAACAGATTTCTCCAAAACAATTATACTTAATAAACAATTACATAACCAATACCCTCTAGAATTATTACGTAAGCTTACCTGTTCACATACATCACGGCACATTTGGTTATCCTTTGAATGATTACAACACAATGCACCTAGGAAGAAAAAATAAACACCCGATATTGCCCACTTTAAATAACAAGATGGTTAAGCTAAATCAGATGGTTACACAAACCATTTATTAAACAGATTGTTATTATTCAGTTTAACTCAATAAACCTTTACTATGTCTCTATTAGAAGCAAAGTACAATGCTCGGTTGGTTTTAGGACATAGTTCTCGCCCTCAAGAAGCTTGCAGTCTTAACAAGGGAGACAGTCATGTAATAATAATAGCTACTATGTACTGTGTACCTTCTATGTGCCAGAATTTTACTAAGTTTGCTTTGCATTATCTCATTCAACACTTACACAATTGCCCTATGGCCTAGATTCTATTATCACATCTATAATATTAAGGTTAAATGATAAAAAGACAGTGAATTTTGTTTTAGAAGTGTTAATTTTAAGGACAGGACACCAGATGGAAATTCCAGTAGAGTCAGAAATCCAAGTCTGGATTGTAGGTAAAGCCAAGCCTAAAGATCCAAATTTGGAAGTCGTCAGCATAAAGGGAGGTATATGAAAATGCATGGCATTGCCTAGAAAGAGTTTCTAGTGAAAAGTGACCACAGCCCCAAATTCTAAAAAACAGCAACATCTGAGACATGGGAAGAAACAAAGAGATTAAGATGCAATAGGCAGAGAGACAGGTTAACCACAAGAAAGCGGTATCACAGAAGAGCAGGTAGTTAGTGTCACATACCAGAACAGTCAGGTTAGATTGAAGACTCAAAATTCACTAGAAAGAGTTTCTAGTGAAAAGTGACCACAGCCCCAAATTCTAAAAAACAGCAACATCTGAGACATGGGAAGAAACAAAGAGATTAAAATGCAATAGGCAGAGAGACAGGTTAACCACAAGAAAGCGGTATCACAGAAGAGCGGGTAGTTAGTGTCGCATACCAGAACAGTCAGGTTAGATTGAAGACTCAAAAAAGGAAATGAATTTACTAATTAGACTTGGTTAGACATCTATATAGTTCATAAAAGCCACTTAATGACTTTCACAAGGTACTTTCTGTGGAGCTGGTAGAAGAGAATGATATTAAAGAGAGGTGAGGAAGTATAAACAGCAAATATAGGCTCTCAAGAACTCTAGCAGTGAAGGGAGGGAAAAGGGAATGGTAGTTACAGAAAGATCCAAGAGCAAGGGAAGATTTTTTATGTTTTTTTTTGTTTGTTTGTTTGTTTTGTTCATTTGTTTTTTAGAGCAGACTGTCCTTGGTTCCTTAAGAGGGAGACTCTATATCCGGGAGTAACAGGAATGTCTCTGCTATGCTAATGAGCTGGCCCAGGGTCTCACCTAGATAGCTTTAGGATGGGAACTGGCCATGCCAGAAAGATCAACCATATCAGAAGGTTGGGGCTTTGAGCCACATGATAATCACTCCAACCTCCCAACCTCCAGTGGGACAGGGAAGCAGGAGATTGAGTTCAACCACATGGCCAATAATTCATTCAATCATGCCTATGGAATGAAATCCCTATAAAAACGCTAGATACCGAAGCTCAGTGGACCTTTCCTAGTTGGTGAAAACACTGATGAGCCAGGCAGGTGATGCACATTGATTTCATGAGGAAAGGGTACAGAAGCTCTGCCTTTCCTCCCAGACCTCACCCTGTGTCTCTTCATTTGACTGGTCTTCCTGATTTATCTTCTTTATAATAAGACTATAATCATAATTACAGTGCCTCCCTGATTTGTATGAGTCTTTCCAGGAAATTACCAATTCTGAGGGGTCATGGGAAGCCTGGATTTACAGCCAGTTGGTCAGAAGTATGGGTGACCTTTGGGGGACCCCCGAAGTTTGGCTGGTGTCTGAAGTAAGGGCAGTCTTGTTGGGGCCCATGCCCTTTAACTTGTGGGGTCTCTTCTAACTCTGGGTGGTTAGTGCCAGAATTGAAATGCTGTATACCCAACTGTGGTAGAAACAAATTATGGGATGTGGGATCAAGAAGAGGCATTATATTTGGGGCTAAGGATACAGTAGTGAATAAATGTTATGCTCTCCGACTTCATCCAGGGTACAGTCTGATGACAGAACAAAGTCTAGACAAGAGGAAAGGATATAAGGATACTCATAAATTAAGAGGAAATTCAACAGCCTCTATTTTCACAGTGAAATAGAGATTAGGTCTGAAAATAAAAAGGGTTGAGATAGGGTTGGGGGCTCAGTCTGAAATTGCAGAGATCTGTAAGAGCCACTTGGGAGAATAGAGAAAGATATGTTTCTCAAACTTGTGTTCTATGAAACACTGTTTCATGATTCATTAATATCTATCTTTCAAGAGAAAATGTTTCATGTTCAAATAAATTTGGAAATGAAGGATTAAAAAAGAGTGAATTCTTCACTTCAAGATGTCACGAAGCTTTTACTATACTAATATTCATTATTACTCTCCTAATAAAAGGTCTAAGTAGACAGATTTCTCACAGCACGAAAGCTTTTTTTCATGCCATTTAACATTTCAGAGCACCAGTTTGAGAAATATCAAATTAGAGAAAACGAAAAATATTGCCGAGCAGCATTATGGGCCCAGAGAAATTGATAAATTGGCTAGAGATAATCGGAAGGGGCATGTTACTACTAGAGTGTAGCTAACTGGAAAAAATATACAGCTGGATTGATTGATAAGGGCTGACTAGACTGGCAAGTCAAAAGAGACAAGGTGAAAATATATTTCAAGCAGCTAGATATGATATAATGGTTTAATATATATATATGTTTGCAACATAATTTCTTCAAGTGAAACCTATATAACTTCAATATACCAATAAGATGAAAGCAGAGCTTTTTTGATCGAAAGAACTGGTATTGGGGATAAATGAACTAATAAACGAATAAAAGAAGTCCTCTTTAGATCTTACCAACAAGTCTTCTAAGTTTGAAACTGAAAACTGTTTCTCCATAAAGCTGTGGGTGAAAAAGGGGCCACATACTAAAACCTGACAAGCTCAGGGGAGGTCCACCTGGCAGGCCTTGCAAACTGAGAACCACATAAGGGTGGTCTGGACTTAAAAATTCCTAACTAAAAGCAGGTCATGGTGGGTAGTCTTATAGATTCCTTGACAAAGGTCAGTCTTTAACTTTGAAATTATTTATTGTCTTTGTGCATCTAAGATAACATACCTTTAAAATGTCAGAGTAATCTTTTCCAGACCCCTAGAAGGCACAACCATGGGCACCAGAGCATGAGACCACATTGTTATCTGTTGCCCACACACCATCTCTATGTATTGTAAATGGTAACTATTCCATACCTACCAATGTAAAAGATGCATGTGTCTCTCCATTTTACTTTTTATCCACTCTCAGAGATTTCCCTACTTTGCATTCTCCCACCTCTTTATTCTACCACCAATGAATCTCATAAACTCTCCTTACCTTGCCTTTTTTGATTCTAATGTATAAAGTAAGCTGTAAAACTGCCATTCTCCAAAGCATTTCCTCAATCTGTTGAGATTTTGCTTCCCAGCAATTATCATCAGTTTGTCTCAAACTCTTACAAGACTTTTTCTTATGGTGGATGTTCTTTCACCGACAAAGCAATAACCAGGTATATATGATATCATTGGCATATTACAATAGTTTGGTTTCATAAAAGACTATTGTGAGGCTGGCTTTCTAACATTATTTCTATGGGAAAGTGTCTTGAAATTCTAAACATCTGACAAGAATTCTGAATAACATAAAAATTTCACTAAGTTTCAGAAGAGAAAAAGGTCTTTACTTTTTTAAAAAATTATTTTTTTATTTAGTTTCAAGTATACAGTACATTGGTTAGACATCTATATAGTTCATAAAACAATCCCCCCAATTGTACCCTCCCACCCGACCCTCCACCTAGCCAACGTATCAATGCTAACTGCATTCCCTATGCTGTGCTCCCCATCCCCACGACCATCCATCAGCTACTAATGTGTACTTCTTTAGCCCTTCACAGCATTCTCTCAGCCCCCCAAACCCCTCTTCCCTCTGTACGACATCAAACTGTCCGCTATATTTGTGAGTCTGTTTTTGATTAGTTTGTTCTTTTTATTCCTTAGGTTCCGCATATAAGTGAAATCATATAGTGTTTACCTTACTCTGTCTGACTTAAATACCTTCTAGGTCCATCAAAGCACTATCTTTTTCTATCCCCTTCCTTTTTATATGTAGAGGTGTCTTGTTTTCTTATCCTTTCAGCCACTCTATCTTTTGGTTGGAGCACTTAATTCTTTTCCATTTAAGGTATTTATTGATAGGAATGTAATTATTAGCATTCTTTATTCCTGTTTTTGATACATGTTTTTTCTTCTTAAAGAAGTCCCTCCAACATTTCCTGTAACACTAGCTTGGTGGTGATGAATAGCTTATTTTTGTCTGGGAAGCTCTTTATTTGTCCTTCAACTCTAAATGATAGCTTTGCTGGGTAAAGTATTCTTGGTTGTAGATCCTGGATCTTCATCATGTCGAATATTTTGTGCCAAGCCCTTTGTCCTGCATAGTTTCTTTTGAGACATCAGCTGCCCGACTTATGGG